ATATAATTATAATGATAAATAGCATTTGGATAGCGTACATTCCCTCTCAACAGCAAACTCTTTGTGCTGTACAATCCTTACTATTACCTTAATAGACCTGATAGCATTCTAAAACAAATAGGAGACTTAAAAGGTACTAGACAATATTATTATTACGTTCCATGGAAATGAGATTTGAAAAAATTAAAATACAAAGAAATTTGCTTTTAGAGAAATCCTATGAATTGGGAATACTAAAAAGTAATGGTTACATGAACCGTGTCAAGATTTCATTCTTTTTTCTGAAAGTCACGGACAAAGAATGTTAGATATTACGCTACCCAAGAATTACAACGTTCTGTCTGCTCACTACCTAGCTTTGAGAAATTTGACGTTAAAAATTTTGAGTTTCACAATATGTCGAGCTTTTTCGAAAGCAATTCTTTGAATACCTTGATATCGACTCCGAATAATCTTATGATTTTGAGAGAGCAGATAGAACATTTAGTTTCTTACATCATGGTCTTAGTAACTCAAAACTGCCAAAAATGTCAGATGAAACTTTGTAATTCTAAGGTAGTGATTAGCAAAATTAGATGGGAAGATTTTCATACAATATAATTTATTCAGTATATACACAATACTCTAAGGTTATCTAAGAAGCGTATCCTCCAAACATAATGTCTACCTCCGAAAGGACAGTTCTAAGCAGGTGGGGAGGGGGAGTGGGTTGGCCTGAAAACAACTCAGTAAAAAGTTGAATTGGGTTACACCGTGTACACCCCCTTCCTAATCTTGAAAACCCCTCTTTTGTGAATGATGTCACGGCGATCCAAAATGGCCCCCTCAGAGAGTGGAAATTTCAAGATGTGCGTAATGGTTCAAATAGGTTCCAATTTTGCTTGTTGTGTTTTTGTCGTTTGCTTGTTTGTTTGTTCTTTTGTTTGTTTGTTCGTTTGTTTGTTTGTTCATTTGTTTTGTTGTATTTTGTTTTGCTTTATTTTGTTTTGTTGTGGGGGGTTTTGGGGGGTTGGGGTTTTTTGGGGGAGGGGAGGTTGTGTGTGTGTGTGTGTGTCTTTGGGGGGGGGGGCGATTTTTACCCTTTTACCAGCTCCCCAAACAACCCAAGCCCAAGAACTCCATTGTTGAACAAAAATCCGAACCAGGACCATCCGCGCCATCGCGCAACCTGACCCCAACAACGAGACGATCAACGTTGTGATTCCCCTCACCACAACGTGCTCGCCGTTCTCGTTGATGCTCCTCTCCACCTCCTGCACCTTGGTCCAGCCGGCGTCCAGAGGGGTCATCTGCTGCACCAGCTTGCCATCTGTGTACGTGCACACCACCTG